TGAGCTGTGTCTATGAGCGAGACCAGGAATAGGAAACTGTAGTGAGGTAGGAAGGCTTTGGCCTGTAAAGCGTCTAGGTCGGCCCCTATGAATTCTAGGTGTTGCACTGGTGTGAGGGTTGACTTCTGGATGTTGATCTGTAAGCCCAGTTCTGTAAACAAGTGTATCATAGTGTCGATGGCTCTACGAGCCTCTTGGAGCGATCAGGCTCTGAGGAGACTATCTATCCATACCTGGATGGATATTATCCCTTGCAAGCATAAATGAGCAGCTACCACGGAGAGAACTTTGGAAAACACTTTCAGGGCTGATGAGAGTCCAAAGGGAAGGACTCTGTATTGGTAATGGTAATGTCCCAGAGTGAATCTGAGAAATCGACCGTGAGCTGGTAGGATCGAAATGTGAAAGTAGGTGTCCTGTAGGTTGAGGGCCAAAAAACAGTTTCCCTGTTCCAGTGATGGAATGATCATCTAGAAGGTGACCATCTTGAACTTCTGAGCTTTGACAAACTTGTTGAGAGCTCTGAGACCCAGTATGGGTCTCCAAACTCCCTTTCTTTTGGTTATTAGGAAGTAACAAGAGTAGAATCCTTTGCCTCATAGATGATGAGGTACTGGTTGTATGGCTCCTAATTGGAGGAGCTGATCTATCTCATGAGAGTCCACTACAACAGGAGAAGGGTCCCTGAAGAGGAGTAGGGACAGGTATTGTGGAGGGGGTAGAGAAATGAAGTGGATGGAGTAGCCAGATTGGATGAGCTTTAAGACCCATCTGTCCAACATTATGCGTTCCCAGGCACTGCAGAACCCTGCCAAACGGTGATCAAATGGGTGCATAATCACAGTCAGTCAGTTGCAGGGAGTGGTCTTGCAGTTCCTCAATCTGCCCACCAAATGAGGTGCTTAGAGGCAGGGGGCTGGGTCAAACATTGTGGCTCCCCAATGGCTTGCGCTTCAGGTATTTCTCCTTTTTTCTTTGCAGCTCATAATGGTGCTATGATGGGAATTGAGTTGCATACAGCCTGTATTGGGACTGCAGGACTAAAGCGTCTCTTTTGTCCCGGTGTACAGATTCCCAGCGACCTGAGGGTGGCCCTGGAATCCTTCAAGGTATGGAGGGAGGCATCTATCTTCTCAGCAAAGAGCTTTTAACCCTTGAAGAGGAGGTCTTCTACTGTGGTCTGCACCTACTTTGGGAATCCCAACAAGTGGAGCCATGACTCTCGCCTCATCACCACAGCTGTAGAGATGGATCTAGCTCTCGTGTCAGCAGTGTCGGGGATTGATGGTAGCAATATTTTTGCCATTAGTTGTCCCTCCTGAATGATGACAGTTTATCAATAAAGTCATTCAGCTTATTGCAGTTTGTGTAATTGTATTTTGCCATGAACGCCTGATAGCTGACAATGTGGAATTGTAAGGTTGCCGAGGAATATGCGCTTCCAACGCCCCCACCCCAATCAAAGGGCCTTGCCCTGGAATGGTGTTGTCACAGGATTTCACGGCATCCACCACAATGGAATTGGGTGATGGGTCGGAGAAAAGGAACTCTGATTCCTTTGTGGGGACATAATATTGCTTCTCCTCACACTTGCATATTGGGGCAACAGATGACAAGGTTTGCCACACTGTTTTAGCCAGGTCTAAGATGGCTTCATTAACTTGAAGGGTGATCTTCAAGGATGATAAAGAGTAGAGGATATCAAGGAGCTGCTGGTGTGTGTCCCTGACCTCCCTCCAGTGGTATGTGGAGGGTATCCGCTACTCTTTTCACCAGCTCCTCGATAAATCAGAAGTTATCTGCCATGGACGGTGGTGAAGGCATATCTGCTTCGTCTAGGGTGAAGCCGCTGGACGAAGCTTGAAGCTCGCAAAGCAGGTAGTTTTGCCACCCCAGGGTCCCAGTATGGCCATTGTGGTGGCATAGGGCCTGGTAGAGATGCTCATGGGTGGCACTCCCGCACCCTCTCCTATGGAGCTTGGGAGGAGTACTGTGAGATCTCAATCTGGCTCACTATCTGACCCCTCAACTTGACAATGGAGAGGCATGGCATGATTGCAGGAATATCCCCTGTGCCCAGCAAAGGCTCAGTGCCGTGATGTCGGTACCGAGGGGTTGAGACTCGGGTGCCTCCGTCATGCAGTGGTCCCTTGATCAGTGGAATTCCTCCAGTACTGATTGTTCCTGTGGCGGTGCTGGGGGAGGTGGAGACCTCATCTGTGCCGGGTGGGCTACTGTCACTGGTGGTACCGAGGTGGGTGGGAGAAGAGGAATTCAGAGTCCTTGGTAGGGATACCCTCTTACAAGTGGGTTTCACTGTAGAGAGGGTTTGCCAGATGGTCCTAGTGGATTCCAACAGAGCCTCATTAATAGGGAGGGCAATTCTAGATGGTACGTCAGAGTGCAGAATCTCCAAGAGCTTGTGTTGGGGTTCTCTGATCTCCTCTAGGGGTATCTTCAGGGAGACTGCCACCTGCTTAACGAAGTCCTGGAACTGTCAAAAATCATCAGCCACCAATGGTGAGGGAAAAATCAAGGCTTCATCTGGTGAAGAGGACAAGGTGGTAGTTTGAGGCATTGCTTCTTTGTCCACCCTGGTATCCTGCTCCTCAAATGTTTCCTCCTGTTGCTGGTGGGGGGAGAGAAGCTTGTGTCTCCTTATCATCCCTATAGGATAGGGTCTGGGCCCTAGAGAATTACCAGCAATAGACTGCCCAGAGATCCCAATATGGCCATTTAGAATCATAGAATATCAGGGTTGGAAGAGATCTCAGGAGGTCATCTAGTCCAACCCCCTGCTCAAAGCAGGGCCAACACCAACTAAATCATCCCAGCCAGGCCCATACATATGATGGGATGGAATCCAGGGTTACTCTCACCAGGATTGATAAGGTCCTGGAGCATCTTCCCTGTCCCTTTGGGAGACAGTTAGTGTAAGGTATAATTGGAGAACCTTGCACTGAAATGGAAGCAGCACAGGGGAAATCATCAACAACATCCTCCTCTTCTTCAAATGAAGGAGCTCCCAGAGGAAAGGGTGGGTGGAGAGTGTGACGGTACTGGGGATGCAAAAGGATCCCGCTACCAAGAGGTTCTCTATACAGAAATATGCTTGGTACCGGTCAGCAACGGAGACTCTGGATCAGAAGCCATCACCAAGTCTCTCTGGTATCTGAAGTCCTGCAGTACCAACAGATGTTTTAGTACCCGAGTGTTTGTCCTTCTCAGATTATACCAGAGGCATAAGGCACTTCAAGGCTGCAACAATGAGGCTGGAGGCTTACGTGGTACCGTGACACTTGGTCAGAGCATTGAGAGAGGAGTTAGAGTTGATGGTACTGATCTTCTATGTTTGGTGCCATCCCTAGACAATGATGCAGGGTCTTCCTAGAGCCCTGTTTTCTCACATCCCCTGTACCGAACGAGTGTTTCCCCTCTATTGTACCAAGCCTCAAAGACCTCTGAGGAGACTGGAGACCAAGGTCTTTTTGAGGGAGAAGCCCCAAGAAGGAACTAGATCTGGTTTTCTGAGAGGATTTGAAGGAAGGCTCTGAGGATTTCTATTTCTTAGGAAAATGTTGCACCGAGGTGGAAGTGGGGGTAGAAATTCCTGAAGACTGATGGCCAGGAGGGTCCCAACCTGGTTCCAAAGGAGATCGAGTTTGATGAAGTAGACTATGAAATTCCTGTTCGGAAGCAGAGAAGACTGAAAAGGAGACATCATAGCAATAGAGGAAAGAGAGAAAAGGAACTCTATACAAGCTCACAGAAGAATATGATCTGGCAGTGACAAAGAGAGATGAGCCCAAGCTGTAAAAGTTGGAACAGATCCAAGCTTCCCCAAATATTGAGGATGATCTAAATCACTGTTTTGGATCTAATCCATCTCTATTTCTGAAGACAAGGAAAACATTAGTGAACAAAAGGCTACAGTATTGTGTTTTTATTAAAAAAAATTATTTATTAAAAAAATCTTAAATTCTGCCTCTATATGATTTACATATTAAAAACTATTCACTTACCTGTATGTCTTGCTTATCTACTGCAGAAGCAAGCCACAGACTTGAAAAACGGAGTGGGAAAACAATGCCTCTATAAGAATGCCGGGCTTTCCTCCGAGTATGAGCAGCCAGACAATCTACTAAAAGTTTACTGAGACACCTTGCTTCTGCTTGATAAAAATACAGTTGTCAGTGTGTGAAGTAATTTGCCAGGGACAGTTCTCCAAATAAGCCAACAAACCGACAAATGCAGAAAGTCATTTTTGCATTCTGGGGAATTTGAGGTTTTATTCTTCATAGCAAGGTGAGAAAAACATAAAATTCGCAGAATGCACATATAAATCCTCCATCAACTTCCAGACACTTTACTTATTTGAGAAATCAGCCTTTGAAAAGATGTTCATCCCCTCTGCCTCACACCTTCTCCTGTACCCTCCATGACTCAGACTTCTCCCCCTCCATAGCTTTGCCCGCTTCTGCCCACTAATGTATTACTTTCTTTTGCCCCAATGCTGAGCATTGGCCTGGATCCGTTCCCATTGAAGTCAATGGTAAAACTTCATTTGACTTCAGTGGAAACAGATGGGCCAATGCAGAGCACAGCTTGATTTATATTTAAGGAGTTAAAAGGCCAGGGTCTACATGCATGTAGAGTGATAAAGTTTGGATTACACAGAAAAAAAGATTTTTGCAATGTCTCTGAGTTTTAGATTATGAAATGTAAACAAGTCGTTTATGAAGTACCGTGTTCAAGTTTAGATCCCAAAAAATTCAATTCATATTTCAACAATCATAGAACACTTAAGCAGTCTTAACAAAGAGTCCTCATACATATATCAGTAACAATTAAGGTGGTGAATTAAGCAACACACTAAAGAAAATCCTTGAATCACATTCATCCAATCTAGTTTTTTTATATTATATATTTACTTACAAGTACTTGTAAAAATATATTACATCAAGAAAGTCAAATGACTGTGAAGTAGCTTTTCACATTACCTCTGGAGTGTTTTTCTTGAACTCACGACTTTGCTCAATAAGCTTTTTTCTAGACTGCTCGCTTTCATCTTGTCGGTTAGCCAATACCGTTGCTGTCGCATCAAGCTCTCTCTGTCAAGAAAAGGAACAGCGAGATTGTAATTGCTCTTAGTTGAAGAGAAGGTCATTTACTCCAGATAAATAAAAATATAAGCCTTTATACCGACTCCTCAAGAATTTCCAGAACAAAGATACCAACCTCCAGAAATTACTTCCCTTGAATGTAATTAAACACTAAGTGCCATAGAATTTAAATTCTGTCCTGAAACCAAAAGTGACCGTTGTTTGCACGTGGGAAAATCAAATAGATATTTTCTCAAACACATTTAGGGTTATATAATAGTAAGGTAATATAGTAAGATACCAGAAGCAAAACTAATGCAACATATACCTCACAATAATCCCCAAATCAAACTAATGTAGTATGTCTACTCAGGACCATCGCTACCCATACACAAAGTACGCAGCTGCGTAGGGCACCAGGAAATTTGGGGCATCAAATTTCCTGCTGCCCTGCTCAGCTGTGTGCTGCTACAGCCCCTGCCCCACCTCTTCCCCATGGCCCCCGCCCCAGTCCTGCCCCCATCCCGTCCCTGTTCTGCCCCTTCCCCAAAGCCCCTGCCCTGCTCCGCCCCCATCCCACCCCTACTCTGCCCCTTCCCCAAAGCCCCTGCCCTGCTCTGCCTCTGCCCCCACCCCCACAAGGACCGCAGCAGGACCGGGCCTGCACTCACCGGCAGTGGTAAGTGCAGTGATGCGTCCCCTGCCGCGCCACTGTTGAGTGCTGGGGTGTGGTTCCCTCCCCTACCCCCCAAGCCAGCCTCCCCCTGCCCCCTGTGGAGGCCTGGGGACCCACACACACCCCCTACAGGGGGGGGAGGCTGCATAGGGCTCCAGAATAGCTAGAGACAGTCCTATGTCTACTTCAAGTCCAAGTCCGTTCCATTTTTAAATGGCTTACATCACCTGTTTCGTTTGCTGACTTTGGAAGCACTCTCTGTCTTAGTTATTCTGAGTGAAAAAGCTATGTCTGAATAACTGAAGTACAAGTTCTTCCTCAACATCAACCGATGATGGCTTTACTTCAAAGTTATTTTTAAGATCACAAACTGCTCACTGGGATCATTATTTTCTTCTCCATACAAAATTTTTAAAATTAGGGGACATCCCTCAATAAGAGACTTCCTTCTGTTCTAAAGATCAAATGATCTTTTCCTCAGTCTCTGCTTCATATTGGAACTTGACCCCCTGACGTTATCAATAACTGTAGTTATCCCTTTGCTGATTGTTTTGTCACCAGAACACCACACAATATCCTTCATCTGTCGTCATACTTTATGAATGCCAGAATAACTTCCACCAATTTATTGTAAACAGAACTACCAATACAGCCGTAACATTACTGCCAAGCTTTGCCCAAATGATTTCAACATACTATCCACCATCACATCTTTCTTCTGTATTCAACACCATACTTCAAATTAAACCATGCTGCATTGCATGGGTCACTTATCAGCATATAAGCCAACACTATTCAAATCATTCTGCATCACTCTGCTTGCTTTTGCAATATTTAAATGTTATATTTAGAATATTAACTTTCCCACTCAGATACGTGGAACATTTTCACTTAAGTCAACAGGCGCTATATCCATGCATTTATGGAGAGAATTTGGCACTATATTTTCTTTACTTTTAATTGATTTTCTTTCATTTTGACTTGCTAAAGTGAGGCATAATGCAGACAGGTTCTGGACCATCTTCTCCGCATAACTCTGCCAATAAACCTTGGTCCTGGCCTAAAGAACCCCTGCTATTCTCCAGGGCAGAAATTGCCAATCCTAGGAAACTGAATGAAAGATTTAGATATAAACAAATATCAATTAAAAAAAAATCAGATTGACACAACCAGATGAAAAATATAAGGCCAAGATTTTAGCTCTTGAGCCTCTTTCTAGGCATTTTGTGAAAGAAATCTGCATTAAAATTATTGGTTCTCTCATGTGTAAATCCTGCCACTTTTCTATTACTTCTAGGCTCAAACTAATTTAACAAATCTGAAGCATAGACTGGGTTGACATGCACATATTTTACATGATTCTGTAAGTTCAACGGGGTTGGGGGGGAGAAGAGGATGGGGTCTGAGGTTTTTCTGTTGCAGCACCCAACTCAGAAGGATGTAAGTGTTTTTTTCTTAATTTTCACTTCCTCACAAAGAGATATCTTAAGTTTCTTATTATTACATATAGACCATAGTTAATTTAATCCTAAAAAATATGATATATCTGAACTAGGAACCATCCTGGAGATAGTGATCCAAATATCCACATAACACTTTAAAAAAAAAAAAAAAACACCAAACAACCACCATTGCTCAATATTTCTGACTTTAAGGAAAATGTTAAGGCAATATGTCCAACAGATTTTGGTTTGAAATTCTATAATATACAGTATATGAAATCTATTGCAGAAAAGTGGAAAATACTTAACAGTTGGATAAGCCACATTTGAAATTCATCCTAGTTAATTTTATGCAAGACAAAAGAGCAACAGAAACCAATGTGGTTAGACTTTACAATAAAGAGCAATAAGGGCTAAACAGAAGGCTTTTCAAAAATATAAATAAAATCTGGTAAGGACAACGATTTGGAAATCTATATTTTAGAAATAAGGAGAAGTTAAAAGCAAGAAGAAAAACTGATGACACTGGAGAGAATTGCAGTAGATAAAATATCAAGCAAATGCTGTCTACTAAGTAGTATTAGTAATAAATTAGAAAAAGAATAGAGAAGTAGCAGATTTGTCAATACAGTTTTTTGCTTCCAATTTTAGAGAAGAGGAACAAAGTGACGAACTGCTTCAGACAAAGATCTTATTTTGCACTATGAGAGTAGAGGAGTTAGACAGTAGCTTAGACGCTCCTTCTGGCCTGTTTGCTTTCTGCCAGTCTACTGGTATAAAGCAGATTTTAAGGCAGCTGATCCAGCCTCTTGAGAATTTCCTCTGCACAGAGGAATCCCTTGGTGGTGAGAAACCAGTACCCATGCTATGCCACCCTTCAACATACAGGGCATGCCCAGGAAAAAAGGAGAATGGCAGAGATGAGAGACTATGTATCAATACTCCCAAGCTGCTGAAATGACAGCTTGACACAGTGGACAGAAAGTGTAATATCCTGGTCCAGTGTCTATGAGTAACAATAGAAAGCGCTATGAATAGTTTAAAGAAAAGGAGTACTTGCGGCACCTTAGAGACTAACCAATTTATTTGAGCATAAGCTTTCGTGAGCTACAGCTTACTTCATCGGATGCATACTGTGGAAAATACAGAAGATGTTTTTATACACACAGACCATGAAAAAATGGGTGTTTATCACTACAAAAGGTTTTCTCTCCCCCACCCCACTCTCCTGCTGGTAATAGCTTATCTAAAGTGATCACTCTCCTTACAACGTGTATGATAATCAAGGTGGGCCATTTCCAGCACAAAACCAGGGTTTAACAAGAACGTCTGAGGAACTGGGGGGGGGGGGGGGGGGAAGGGGGAATAAACAAGGGGAAATAGGTTACTTTTTATAATGAATCAACCATTCCCAGTCTCTGTTCAAGCCTAAGTTAATTGTATCCAATTTGCAAATTAATTCCAATTCAGCAGTCTCTCGTTGGAGTCTATTTTCGAAGTTTTTTTGTTGAAGGATAGTCACTTTGAGATCAGAGATCGAGTGACCAGAGAGATTGAAGTGTTCTCCGACTGGTTTATGAATGTTATAATTCTTGACATCTGACTTGTGTCCATTTATTCTTTTACGTAGAGACTGTCCAGTTTGCCCAATGTACATGGCAGAGGGGCATTGCTGGCACATGATGGCATATATCACATTGGTAGATGTGCAGGTGAACGAGCCTCTGATAGTGTGGCTGATGTTATTAGGCCCTGTGATGGTGTCCCCTGAATAGATATGTGGAATAGATACATACACATTGTAAGGAGAGTGATCACTTTAGATTAGCTATTACCAGCAGGAGAGTGGGGTGGGGGGAGAGAAAACCTTTTGTAGTGATAAAACACCCATTTTTTCATGGTCTGTGTGTATAAAAACATCCTCTGTATTTTCCACAGTATGCATCCGATGAAGTGAGCTGTAGCTCACGAAAGCTTATGCTCAAATAAATTGGTTAGTCTCTAAGGTGCCACAAGTACTCCTTTTCTTTCTGCGAACACAGACTAACACGGCTGTTACTCTGAAACCTGTCATGAATAGTTTAGACACTCATACAATCAAAGTATCCAGTCCTCTAGCTAAAAAAGTTGTAGAAGAATAGAAATTAATGAAATCTTAAAGAGACATTGTCAAGGTTGGCAAGCCCGAAACTTGAACCATCTTAATTTGTTCTTCATTTCTTGATCATAACTATTTAGACATCAGGGCTGCAAAGTCCATTTATTGGAAAAACTAGTTGTGCGCTAGGTGCAACAATACAATAATTACGGAAGATTTTCCCACATTTGTGGCATACACAGGAATGTCTCAGGAGAGGCTGGGCTTATTGCAAAATTCAATACTATACACTGAATTATTCTTGTAAGAGACGGATACCACATGGATAAACTTGTGATCCCAAAACCTTCTGGGTAAGACAAATTTGTGGCCCACCAGCCACAATAGGTTCTAAGTAACCAATAAAAGGAGATTTAAGATTACAAAGAGAAAAATATTGGAGGTTCCATTAAAATTACAGGATGCCAATCTCTCAGACCAAATATTCTTTTGTTGTCTAACAATTCCCCACAACTTTGAAACCTAAAATTGTCAAGATTAATAGCAACAGAAACCAAACCATAAAGGTGTTATACTGGGGACAAGTCTGTGCAGGGGATTCAGAGCCCATCACCTCCAGGTTCACTAATTCAAATCTGGCTACTAAACTTTTAGTCAAGGGTATCCAAAATGTAGCACTGTTCAACGGCCTATGCAAAATGAGTTGGAGTCTCAGGACACATTTTCATTCGAGAAACGAGATCAGAGACATGGAGCTAAACTAATTCCACCCCATGGTTGGTCACACCAAGTT